AAAAAGAAAAAGAATCAGCCCAGCCTTGCCCAGCCCAAAAGGAAAACACGTCTCTTGGGATGGCGATGAAAACCTGGGTGCCTCTTCCAAATCCTGAGACATGGAACATTCCCAGGCTCCCCTACTGCCAAGCCCCAATGCCAGCAACAGACCCGTGACAGGGACCCAGCAGTGGGCACATAAGAACTGCCACCAACTAAAGGTGGGGGCAAACTTTTGCTGAACTCTGTCTCTGAAACTGCTCCGTGTTCACCCTGCTCCCCAAGCCCCCAGTCCCTCCCAACCCTGGCACCCCAAAACTGAACACCTGACTGGGAGAAAAGCTCCTTCCCAGTCTTTCCACCTGTTCTAGCCCCTCCATGTGCCCTGCACTGGGATCAGGTTTCCCCATGGGGCATACCCTTGGCCTGCTGAGAGGAGAACCTCTGGATCCTGGGGTCCAGCACCTTTCACTCCCAGATGTGCACAGCCCCACACCAAACCCGATGGGGTCAGTGAGTGGGGCTGCCCCAGACCCTCAGCCTGCCACCCACCCTTGAGCCACGCCATGCTCAGCACCTCACAAGCTCATTCCAACTGCAAATGCCAGGATGCAGGGACTGTGTTTATCTGGGTTGGAGGAAGTCAAATTCATGGCAGCTTTAAGGAAAAAGGAAACCAGAGCTTCCTCCCGGGGGTCTACACGGGTGTAAGAGCCAGTGCTGCAATTCCTGCAGCCAGACAAGTCACTGTGTCCCCCCCAGGGCTCAGGATGACAGGACACGCTGAAAGAGGCTTTTGTTAGCAGGGCAATTAGCAACCATTCTCCCCTTGGAGCTGCAGCCGGCTCTGGGAGTCTCCCTCCTCCTCAAACATGCCACTCGCCCCCGAGTCCGGGGTGGGAGCTGGGTGCTAGCACTTCCCAAAGCAAAAGAACTTTCTTTGTGTGTGACAGAAGCTGGATGGGGACTGGGGAGCAGAGGGGTAAGGGGAGACCCCTTCAAATGTCTGCTCTCCTACAAAAGCCAAGGGGCCCTTCTCATTCCCAGAGCTTTCAGGCCACACCTGCTTTTTCCAAAGGGCATCCAGAACCCAAACATCACAGCCCATCATCCCTGTGGCAAACTGGGGAAGCACCAGGGAACATGAAGAGTTGGTGGGGACCACAGTGAGTTCGGCGCTGGCACGGGATGGCTGTGGGGATGTCTCTGGACACAGTGAATCTGCCATTGGGAATGTCCCCAGGATGCTCCAAGCCACCTTCCCCCTCTGCCATAACCTTCCTGAGCCCAGGCTGCCAGCGTGGGATTCAGGGGACCCCCAGCACACGGCAGCACATCAAGTCACGCCATGGGGTGCACCACAGCCCCCACATTCCCCACTCATTCCTGACACTGCCCATCCAAGCAATCACAGTGCAGCTCCGGATAGGAATGCACCTCCTCTGCAAGCATCCCCTTGATCCCAGTGCATCCCCCCACAAACAGAGCCTCTTTGACACCGAGGGGACCCTGTCCTCGACCCTGGTGTGCCAGCCCCCAGTCTCGGCATTCCTCCTTGGCATCTCCTGGCCATCCCCCGAGGGCGCAGGGGTCGGCACGGGAACACAGCCTCATTCAGAGGCTTTGGCAGGCGGGGGGAGCTCCAGCTTTCATCCCAACTGCATTTCTCTAAGCACCAGTCAACCCCCGTCCCCACTCCCTTCTCTCACCCCCTGCCCTGTCTGGGTCCCTAGAAGGTCACAGCCACTGAATGATGAAGCTGGGGGTGAAGTAACCTCTCCCTCTTTTCCAAGCAGCAAGGATCAAACATTAGCCGCCATCCAGTGAATCATTAACCTCGAAGGGCTGCTCGGGGAGGGGGGAGCGTGTGGGCATGCCTGAGGGTCACCTTGAAACCTCCTCGCCACCACAGTGCTGTGGCTGGATGGCACAGGGTCTGTGTCCTTGCCCTGCTCCTGCAGGGAGCTGCCAGCTCTCCACATGCTCTGAATCCCAGCCAGGACAGCCCAAAGCCCTGTGGCACCTGGCAACTGGCCCTGAAGGCCAGCACGATGCGCTTGGGGAGCATCCCCTGAGCTGGCCACTGTGATTCACCGGGAGTGATGCCCGGTCTTGTGAAGGGAGCCAAAACTCACTGGTTCTGCTTGGAAAAGGCAAGGCTGTATAGAAAGTGATTTTGGATTCGGCAGCATCCCATGGGCACAAGGCAGAAGCATCCCCCAGCGCCTGGGGGAGTCTGGGCAGGGGAGACACAATGCAGGGACATTGCCCAGCCATGTTACCTGCAGAAGCATTAATAAAGACACAAGAAACCCCTTCATCCTCCTCAGGGAGAGCATCGCAAGGCAGAGGCAGGCGCCTGCTGGCCAAGGGAGTCCAACACAGGTCTCTGACGGCCTCGCAGAAGCCCTGGCATGGCGGGGGAGTTATGGGGACCGAGGGGCTACAGCCGGGGAGCAGCAGCAAGCAGAGGAACCACTCCAGGTAGCGATGGCACCGCGACTCAAGCAGCCCCTCCCACTCATGCAAAGCCGCCCGAATTTCCTCCTCGCTGCCATGCTGAAGGTAATTTGGCACTCGGACATGGCTGGTGCCCAGCACACTGCAGAAGGGCAGGCGGGTCGGGATGGGCTGGCAATGGCCGGCTGCTGGCATCAGTCCTGGAAAGAAGGATGTGAGCCCCACGCCGTCACTCCTGTAGAGCTGCATGGTAGCGCTCAGTAAATCGAACTCCAGAGGGACAGAGTTATCGGCAGCAGGACCCTTATCCACCCTCTGGTCAGGCCAAGGGGGGCTGTGGCTCCCGCTTCTGCTGGCCAGAGCCAGCCCTGGGTGGCCAGGGCCATGCCATGGGTTCCGTAATGCTGCGGGGAAGTAACGGGGAGGTTGTACCAAGGGGTCCTGGAAAGGCACCGCCTGCTCACGGGTGCTGTCACCTGGTGAGAAAGGAAAAGGGGCACTACCTGGCTGGAGACCCGTCGGTCTCTGCAAGGACACCTGTGACTCCATTGTAGGAGTTCCCATCCCCAGGAACTCTGGGTCTTCAGGGGTCACTGTCCTCTGTGACCCCTGTGGGTTCTCAGTGTTCCCCAGCAACTCTGGGTTCTCGGTGGTCACTGTCCTCAGGAGCTCAGTGTTCCTCATCACCAGGAGCTGCAGATTCTCAGTGGTCCTCGTGCCTGGGAGCTCTGGGTCTTCGGTGGTCCCTGTCCCCAAGGGCTGTGGGTCCTCAGTGGTCCCTGTCCCCAAGGGCTGTGGGTCCTCGGTGTGCCCTGCTATCAGAAGCTGCAGGTCTGTGGCACTCGTCATCCCCAGGAGCTGTGGGTCCTCAGTGGTGCCCAACCCCAGCAGCTGCAGGTCCTCAGTAGTCCCTGACCCCAGGAGCTGGGGGTCCTCGGTGGTTCCCATCCTCAGGAGCTGCGGGTTCTCAGTGGTCCCTGACCCCAGCAGCTTCAGGTCCTCAGTAGTCCCTGTCCCCAAGAGCTGTGGATCCTTCGGGGTCACTGACCCCAGGAACTGGGGGTCCTCGGTGGTCCCCATTCTCAGGAGTAGCAGGTGCTCGGTGGTTCCTGTCTCCAGCAGCTGCAGGTCCTTGGTGGTTCCCGACCACAAGAGCTGGGGGTCCTCGGTGTTCCCTGACCCCAAGAACTGCAGGTCCTCAGTGTTCCCTGACCCCAGGAGCTGGGTGTCCTTGTGGGTCCCTGTCCCCAGGAGCTGGGGGTCGTCAGTGGGGCTGCTGGCCGCCTGCTGTCCTGGGGCAGGTGACACGCTGTGGAGAGGAGCGATGCTCGGCCACGCCGTGCTCTCCACCGACCCTGTGGCATTCCTGTCCCACTGCTCCGTGGTTTTGGCTGTGGCTCCCTCACTCACAGGTGCTGCTGTAGCAGGATCTGGCTCCTGCTGCCGTGGGGTGGTGACATTTCCTGCCACCTCGCCGCCCCACATCCCTGGGGACGGGCTGGGAGCCGGAGCCGCCGCTGAGGTTGGCGGCACCGACTCTGGGATTCCCTCACTGGGTAGTGCTGGGCTTCCCGTGGTCTTCGTGCTGTCCCAAACCCAGTCCAGGAGCTGTGTTTCGGAGCAGGAGAAGCAACAAGCCAGGAGGAGCAGAACACCCAAGCGAGGTGGGGCCATCGGAAAGGGAAAATGAGCTCCGTTGCTCCCGAGAGCGGAGCGGAGAGGCTGGAGGAAGGAATGGAGGGAAGAGGCAGGAGCTCTGTCCCGGCCAGACTCTCGGAGCACTCACATCTCTCTCTCCTCCCAAGCTCCGGCGCTCGACCCTTCAAACCGGAGCAGAGCAGGGGGAGGAGTGGCCGGCCCTGCCAAGCCTTCCTCTCGCCAGCGCCAGCCTCCCGCTGCTGGCACAGCCCCTCGGGGACCCCTGAGCCTGCCTGGGGCTCACCTGAGCCCCCCAAAACCTCCGGCAGCCCAGCCAGCCTTCAGACCCACCCCACTGCCTGTCCCAGCTGCTGCCGCCAGATGTTTAACTCCTCCCTGCCCGGAACATCCCAAATCGTCTCTCCCTGCTCGATGGCTCTGGTTAAATCACCAGCACACAGAGCTGTACAAGGTAGGGTTGTGCACGGACATGGTCCTCATGGGGTGCCCAGCTTTGGTGGGACACCCCGCTTCAGGCCTCGGGAAAAGGTTATAATCTCAGAGCAAAACTGAACGAGGAGGGAAACAAATCCCAGAAAACATTTCCAACATTTCCACCGGCCGGAAACAAAACAAGTCCCCAAAGCCAAGTGCTTAAAGCCGCTTTCCCGGCTCGCTTACAGGGCCAGGACCCCCCAGGTGCTGTCGCAGGAGGGCCAGGGGAGCACTGCAGCTTTCCTGCCCCCCCAGGCATCACGCGCCAGCAACGCCTCAAAGCCAGGTCTGAGCAATCACAAGTTTCCCAATCACAAGTTTTCCTGGAGCTCGGGATGAAAATCTTCCATGGGCGGTACTGGCACTCTCCCACGCCCCAAAAATTTTGATTGTTCTTTGCCTCTGCTTAAAAAAGTTACCCTCAAATCCACTTATCCAGCTCAGATGACGGTGCCCCTCATTCCTAGGGATGGCCAAGCAGAGATGGAGCATTCCCCAGGCCTACACTACCATGGTGACACAAGGCAAGTCACCTGCATGGCTCAAGAAGTGTCCCTGAGACAGGGTTTTGATGGGGAGGTGACAACTTTGGCTCCCCTCGGCTGTGTGTGACCAGGAAGGTCAGAGCGTTCCATACCATGGTCCTACAGAGCAGAGATCTCCACATGCCGGAGCTGATGCTCCAGTTTAAAAATATTCAGGAAAATCACCGAGACAAATGCTCAGATGTTCATTTTGCTTCATGCAACATTTCCCACACTACTTTTGAAGCAAAACAGGCGATTTTTCCCTTGAAAATGGGAGCTGGCTGCTGCTGCCAGCAGCTCTCCCCGTGACCGATGCTGTTAGGGGTACCCGCTGCGGAACAGCCCCCACCAATCCGCGCGGGACACGGGTTTGTCCAGATGGCAGAGCTTCCACAGGGCCCCTCCCGGAGCTCCAGCGCTTCCATCAGCCCAGGGAAGGAGCCAGGTGCCTGCCAGCCTTCTCTGGCATGTCCTGACGGGCTTGGCTGCCCTGGGGCCAGGGTGCAGTGCAGAACTCCTTGGCACATCGAGAGGGATCGGAGCGACTGCTGCTTCCATTCCCAGCGCTGGGATGGAAAACCTCGGTGCTCCCGGAGCCTCTCCCCGCCCCAGAGCCGTGAGGCTCCAGCGTGGGGAGCATCACATGCCCCCATGAGCTGCCTGGCCTCTGCCAGGAGGATTTGGAGAGCAGCACCCTGCTGGGGTAGCCCAAGCATGTGCAGACAGGATGCCCAGCCAGAGAAATTCCCGCTTCTCCCTTCTGCTGGAATTAGGCAGCTCAGGACAGTAGAGTGGAGCAGCAGCCCCGTGGGACACCCTCATTAAGCCAATGATCTTCATTTCATTGCACATCTCCTCACTGGAAGCTCCCCGGGAAGGAACCAGGGCTGGGGCATCCCCAGAAAAGGGATTTCCAAATTAGGTGCCCTGAGGGTGGGCTGGTGGCACGGGTGGCACTAGAGCATCTTAGTCCAGTGCAACCAGCTCTGCCACTGACCAAGCAGCCAGGCAGGGACTGGGCAGGCAGCAGCTGGTGAAATATTTTGGAGAAGCATTCCCCCAGGGAGAAGCCATGGCAGCTGGCTTGCTGGCAGAGCAGGGAAAACCCCTTGGCTTTTGCCTCCTCCAGGCTAAAAGCTCACAAAAAGCGTTTTGCACACTCCATGAGATGCTGCTGCCAGCTTGCCATAGCCTTGGACTTCTTGAAAAGCAAAACTGCACCCTCACCCTGGTCCCAGTTCCCTCCCAAAGAGGCTGACTGCATCTTCCCAAAACTGTCTGGCATCTGGTGCTGCAACATAGTTCCTCAGGAAAAGGGGGATTGGGCTGCCCTAAGAAGGCACTGAGGGCTCAGTCCTGGGCCAGAAGAATAGAGGGGGGAGAGGGGAGAAAGGGGGAAAAGGGAAAAGAGAGAAAAAATCAGAGGTGGGGGAAAAGAAAAGAGTGGAGATGGGAAGAAAGGAGATTGGGGGAAGACGGTGCGGGGAAAGAGAGTGGGGAAAAGAGAAGGGGAAAATGAGAGGGGAGGAAGAGGGAAAGAAGAAAAGAGAAAAAAGAGATTGGGGAAGTCAAGGAAAGAGTGGGAAGGGGAGAGAAGTGCGTGGAGGAAGTGGAAGAAGTGGAAAATGACAGTAGGAAAGGAGAGAGAAGAAAAGAGAAAAGAGGGGAGAAAGGACAAAGGAGAGGAAAAAAGAAGAGGGGAAAAGAGGAAGGGAAAGAATAGAGAAAATAACAGGAAAAAGAGAAGAAGGGAATGAGAAGGAGGAAAAAAGAGGAGGACAAGGCAAGAGGAGGGAAGGGGAGGGGAAGAGAAAGAAAAGAAGAGATGGAAGAAAAAAGAGAAAAAGAGAGTGAAAAAGGAGAAAAAAAGGCAGGGGGGAAGGGGAAAATAGGTAAAAATAGGAAAAAAGAGCCTGTCATCCAGACCTGCAGCCTTTTATCCGTGGTCAAAGCACACCGATATTTCTCTCCAGGGAGGATTGCTCTCCCTGCAGGATTTTGGGAGAGGACAGGGAGCCTGCTGCAGCCCAGCTCAGCAATTTGTCCTGCACACGCCAAGGATCCCCCAGCAAGAGCCGGGCAGACGGATGGACAGGCAGAGAGACGGACGGACGGATGGACAGCAGAGGGAGCCTCAGGCTGAGCAGAGCGCAGACGCTTCCTCAGGAGAGCCCGCTTGGCTGGACACAGCCCTGAGGTCACAGAGCTCCGGGCAGGGGAAGGGGAAGAAGGGGAAGGGGAAGAGGAAGAAGGGGAAGGGGAAGGGGAAGGGGAAGGGGAAGGGGAAGGGGAAGGGAGGAAACCCTGATAGGAGCACAGGCAGAAAGCCAGAGGTGGGAGCACTCTTGGACTTAGCAGGAAAACTCAAGGACTGTCAGCAGGTGTCCATAAATCCTATTGACATTTGGGATTCTACTCCGTTCTCCATCGGAAAGCCCCACACATGCAGCAGTTGGAAGGCCCTCCGGGAGAGGGAGGCACCCAGGCCGTGGGTGGGCACCCAGCCAGGGACAGGGGAGGCACAGGGGTGCCCAGGAGCCGAGCTGGCCCAGTGACAGCAGCCAGCCCAGCGCCAGCAATGACACAGGTGCCAGGCTCTGCTGTGCCTCCAGGACAGCGTCCCCCCTGCCTCTGGCTGTGCAACACGGAGCCCCCCAGCGCAGCGTTCCTAAACATTTACTCAGGGAGAGGCAGAAACATCCTCCCGGCAAATTCCTCGATAAGATAAACTGTGAAAATGTCACGACAGCCTGCAGGAGCCATCAAATGGCCCCAGGAGGGAAAGAAGGGTGGTCGTGCCCAGACCCCAGTCCAGGAGCATCCTCCTCCTGCTCCTGAACTGAGTAGGGCTGGAAAAGGCACAGCCAAGAGGTGCTGGTGTCCTACTTTGCCCCATCCACATGGACAAGCGGACTGGGCAGCAGAGAATTGGGGCTGGAGTGACTTTGGCCACTCTGTGAGGTTTCCTGGGGAGAATGGATGGTGGAGAGGGACCATCAATATTTGGGCACAGCCAAACCCAAAGGAGGTGTATAAAACTCAAGGTGAGTTTGGGTGAGCTGTAGCTCCCAGTCCCCCCCATCCTGCCTATACTGGGGCCATGTCTCTGCTTCCAATCACTCACCTGCCCCCCGAGCCCACTGACAGCCCGGAGATAAGGCAGGGAAGGCAAGTGAAGGAATGCGACCCCCTGGATCATCCTCCTCCACATTCATAAATCATCTTGCAGACTAATTGCTCCCTGGACAGGAGAAGCCTCTGCTCCTCACCCCCCACTTGGGACAGGCAGCTGGCGGAGGGTGTTGGCTGCAGTCTCCCTGAGGGACAAGGAGGAAGTACGTTCCCATTCCCAGGCATTTCTTCCCCAGAGGATACAGGGAGATCAATACACCTGGCACCCCAGATGTAGACAGATTGTAGACATTGTAGGCATTGTAGACAGATTCTGCAGTAGCAGGATGAGGGGAGATGAGGGATGGATGGAGGGTTTGTGATCCAACTTGATGTCATCCCAACCAGAGAATCAGAGGAGGACAAGGCACCCAGGTGGGTACATGTCCCCAGAGTTCAAACAAACCTTTCCAAGCCAATGATGTCCCCTAACCACGCCAGGATTTTAACCCTCCAACGTGACGAAGAAACAAAGCACTGTCAGTGGATAACCCAGCACCAGCTTTGAAGCCTACACAACAAAAACTGGGAGTTGCCTATCCCCGGCTGTTTTCCAGGACTTCAGAAGCAAAGAAAACACCAGCACAGCTTAGAAACCCCAATTCACCAAACAAAATACAGAAGAGCTACCAAGCGATGTACCTGAAGCTACAAGGGAGCATCACAGCCTCCATCCCGCAGAACAGCATCCAGGGATGCTGGGTGCCAGCTGGTCCTGCAGGAGGCAACTGCCACAGCTCGTGGGTGCTTCATAGAGCCTCACCATGGATTTTCAGGGAGGAAAACCACCTGGCAGGTCATTAACCTCATCCTCAACACAGTGTGCAGCAAACGGAATCCAAGCTCACACGCTTGCTGTGGGGCCAGGTGGCGAGGAACGCTATTTTCTTAGGGAATGGGCAGGAATGGGCAGGAAAATGGGGGAATGGGCAGGAAAAGGTGGATCGGGGAGGGGGTTTGTTTTGGGATTTCAGC